ATGGTACTTAAGGGCCCAGATTTCTCAAGAGGAGCATTGCAAACATGAATAACAATTGAAGTCACTTCCCTACATAACAAGCAATTCAAAATAGAACAGAAATAATTTTTATTAACACGGTAAGAGTTTTCAGGCCATGACTCCAGTGATTTGCTGAATAGAAAACTTCAAATCTTTGTGCTAAAAGCTTTCAGCCCAGGCATGAGCCACCAGCCAGACAAAAAGCAAGTTGCAGGGCACCTCATGACAGGTATTATTGGAAAAAAGAGAATAAGTTTATTGTACACACAGGTTCTTTCAGAAATGCAGACCAAGATTCATTCTCCCATCAAGCAGGACGGCCCACACTCCCCACTTCACTTTTCAGGATGAATAGAAGAATTCAAGTTTGTCTAAAAAAAACTGGTTTTCAGTAATTTCTTTCCACAGACACTTTTTCCTCTATCAAGAACTAGAACATTCTTTTTGCTAACTTCTGTAAGCAAAAAGAAGTTCTCATATACTTCAGTGAAAAGGTTATAAATAAGCATAGGGAGAGCATATGTTTAAGTTAAAAGATCAGGGGGGTTTTTTGGTCTAAAAAACCAGGTTATCTATATTCTAGATTATCTAGATTTCTCTAGAAACCATCTTTCATAGAATTTAGTTCTAGTTTTAAAATTTCATTCAGAAAAATTTCAAAACTAGATGGTTAAAGGCATTAGAGCACTAAAAGTATGACTTTTAGTGTGTTCTGTCAGAGAGAAAAAGTCACTTTCATGTCTCAGAGATGTTCATCCATAATGCCAAGATAGTCACAGAGTACACAGATCACATTCTTTTTCACAATGTCCATAAATCTGCATGAACAATAAATTAAGTCTACCTCAACTTTACCCTGCCTTCAAACACAAAAAACATCAATAGGTATTTTCTGTCCCTTGATGAATTTCATATTATGGTGTGAAATTTTATCTACCATGCTTGAAAAGCAAAAAAATTTAAAACACAACAACCAGCAGCTGGACTGAATCATGTTTCTAATGCAAGTTTCAGGTACATGCCAGAAAACTTCCAGGAAAATTACATTAAATCAGGCAGTCACCAGCACATACCCACAGACAGACATTGCCAAAGCCATTTACCAGATTGAATAAATTTACATGAATATAGCCCATTTCCTTGTGTTGCTTCTGCAGCATCCCAGGCTGTGTCCTAACACATTAAATCAAACCAGAGCCCAGTGGAACTGCAGTTCTTGATAGATTTTTGTGTCAATCATGGCCTGAATTTCTCCTCCACAGGGAATTTCCTTGTTCACTACTGATCAATAAAAGACCAGTTGTATTTAGACACGTTGTGAGTAGAGCATATGCTGTATTTTAATTCCTGTGAGTTCATCTTCACTTTGCTGCACGTCTCAGGGTTTGTATCTTCACTCTTTATGGTCATGGAATCATGGAATGGTTTGGGCTGGAAGGGACTTTACAGCTCATCTGGTTCCAACACCTGTCTGCCTTCCCTTCTCTCTAATATAAAAATACACGAATTATAAACTTCCACATTTCCCAGGTCTTCTTTGGCCCTCATCTGGGAGATCTTTTACACAACTCTGACAGTACCAGAATAAACACCCACACAGCAAAGTATTTAATGGCCCAGCAACTGGATAATATCAGGTGGTTTTGAAGTGTAACTGTTCCTATTATGGAATCATTATGGGATACAGGGATACACAGGGATGAGCTTTAGGCATCATTTCTTTTGTGTTGGGAAGGATGCAAGTTTGACAATAAAGTCTCACAGGTATGTGTGCTTGGCAGAAAGATTTTTGAATGTAGAGTCTGATGAAGGAATAGAGATGGAAGCAAGTTTTGATACAGAAGAAAAGAATTGCTGAGCCAGTCTCACTGGATAACCAAGGAGGCAAAGGGTCTGTTAGTTAGAAGGGGTTTTATGGCTTAGAGCAAAGGATAAACCCACCCCAAACAAGAAGATGTTTTTACCAAGCAGAAAGAGAGCACAGGCAAACAAGTCAGCAAATGTTGCAAGTAGAAAAAAGGTCTCAGAATTTTCCACCGCAAGAAAACTGAAAAACAACTTCTGGCTTAAACTGTAATGTACTGACTGTTAGTGATTGGAGAACAGTGACATGAATATGGTAATTACAGTAGTTATGATAGGCTAGAGATAAAAGTTAAGGGATAGATTGGTTCTTCTGTATGAAGATGCTCAGCAAAGAAAAGTATAGAATGCAATGTAACCCAAACTCAGGGTCTCCAGGCTGCCTGCAGCTGGAGCTGACAGCTGTGGGCACAGCTCTGTCACCCATGATCCTGGACTGCTGTGACACCTTGGATACAATAAACTGCATTTTGGAGAGCCCCTGGAGTCCCACATCCCTCATTTAGTTTTTTACACTTTTGGTTTTTGCTCTTTGTGTTTTTAGAACAGGTTTCATAAATCAAACCAGTTTATCACCAACGTTTTCTACAGCCAACAGAAATTACCCTTGCACGCTACAGAAGGAACAAGAATCTTAACACCGTGGACATTCTCATTCATTGCAAAGCATTTTGCACTGATAGAGAGCATTTTTTCCACACCTATCAATGGAAAGCAGGAGTCCCTGGAGTGAATTGCTGCCTTTAGTAGGACACAACACTACCCAGCAAGGCAGGGCAGGAAATGAGGAGAACACCAAGAGCCAGCTGTAAGTGCCACAGACATTTTTAGGCTGACGATGTAATTATCCCAGCGGGAACCCTGCCAGGAAATCAGCCAGGAAAACACAGCCTCAGTTCATTAATCCAGCTCTTTATGCCACCCAGCTAAACATATCATTTCACATCACACCAGGGCTGCTCTCATTTACACGGCTCGTGGGTGCTAATAATGGTGTGTGGCGTCTCCTGCTCTCCTCATTATGGGATCGTGTTGAACAGGCCCCAAAAAAAGCTGCTCCACTTTTCTGACAGGCTTTTTTCCCAGCCTGGAGTGTTGACAAGACATGAATGTGTGTGTCATTCTGTGTAATTCTGTTTAAGATCTTTTTCCTCCTCTCTGCTTCTTCATTGTTGTTTGGGTTGGTTTTTTCTAAATATAAGTTAAGAGAAGTAAAAGTCTTTTTGTCATGTAAAATGTCAGAAATTCAGTCTAGATAAAGAGTGTTTAGGTTGATACTTCTAACTCAGGAGAAGGCTCGTGAGGAAAAGCTGAGTCAGCATCACAAACCCAAAAGGGAAAATGTTAATAAATTCAGAGAGCACATGGGCACTCATGTCACCACTGAAGATGCTGAACTACAACTTGACATGACACAAAATAAGTCATGTAAGCAACAGAAACTAAAGTAGTTGACAAATGAAAAGTAATGCCAGAACAGCCAGCATTAGCATTAAAAATCTAAAAAAAACCCACCCAACCAAAACCATCACAATAACAAACACCCAGCAGAAAAAATAACCAAAAAGCCCATAAAACCCCACTAGAACACTGGAATATCATTGTACATAGATCATACAGCAAATACTTAACTTTTTCTGATGTACTGACAATTGAATGCTTAAGAAAATCCAAACCACACAGGAACATGAAAACAGAGTGGAGAGGAGGAAAAAATACCCTCAGGAGAGAACAGACTGGAATATTCACTAATCAGTGCTTATATACACAGAATTTAACCCTGCATTCTCTTATGATCACTTCAGTCCAATTTTTGCAAGATGAAAAAAAAAAACCCATAGTATAAGTTCTGGGGTAGTAACTCACTGAATATCAGTATTTTACACCCAAATCCTTTAGACTCCTTTTAAAATCTCAGTTGAAGATCTCTCAGTCTTGTTCTAAAACCCTGGGCTGAGAATACTGGCAGATGGTATCTTTAGATTGTAGGAGTTACAACGGAATAAACCTGAAAGGTACTTAATTCTGCTGCAATAAAAATAATTACAAAGTCAATAAAACTGAAACATTTTGTTATATGCCTATATATAGGCATATATTGAAAACATATTTTTCCCCTACCACACAGGTAAATTTGGAAGCACCTCATACCCATTTTATCTTTCGAAAAAAATTGTCAGACCTTGTGAGTATCCATTTATCACCAACACCCAGAAAATAATTGTCTTAATATTGTTATTATACTTGTATTTTTAGGCTTTGATTTTTTTATATATTTAAAATCACAAGTATTTCTATATTGCTCTTTTATCTGGTTGATAATTGTTAGATTGTTCAGAAACATACGTACCATCATCCTAGTGCTACATTTGCACCCACAGGCTTCAAACCACTGCTCAGATTCAGCCAAGTGAAAAAAATCACATCATTTTCATCAATCACACAGCAGAATAAAAACCAGGCTGAAAATGGAACAGTAAGCTCTGGCACTGGGCAAAGCTCCACTCCCATCAAGCATTTTTTCCTGTTGGAACCCTGAGAATTTCAGATTTTCTGTGCTGCCAGGCACTGACCCCCAAGAGAACATTGCATTGATCTGAGGTGTGGAGAAGGCTTCCAAAATGGAATGATAGAACTGGGATTGTGGGTGTGGAGCTTGAATAGAAGTGTGTAATATCACAGGGTAGGAAACTTAGAGTTTAAGATTTTAGAATATAGTAATGTATATAAAGCAAGATGGAGGTTGTAGGGCAGAGGCTGGTCCTTCTTCTTTAGGTACTTCTTCACCTTCTTCTCCATGGGTTTGGGTGGTTTTGTGAAATTGGATAAAACAGTCCACATTGCAGGCATGGATGGTTGGTCATTTGGTTAAAAGTAAAAATAATTTAGGTGTCATTTTTTAATTGGACAGTTTATCCTTGAAAGGCCTTGTAGAGAGAGAGATGGGGCTCCATTTTTACCTTGTTAATGAAAGTGCTGTAGAACTCACACTCTGTGAGACTGTGACATAGATATGAACTAATAAAAGATTTGAGTCCAAATAATAAATACGATCTCACAATTTAATCCCAACCTTGGCAGAAAAGAAGAAAAAAAATCCACATTTTCCCACATACCTTGTTTTCGAACATCATCTACAGCAGCAACCAACTCCTCCTTGAGATCCTGGCTCTCTTTAGCAATTTGGTCTCCTTTTTCCAAGAAGTTCTGAGTGGCCTGCTCCACTGAGGCAGCCAGAACATGAGCTTTCTTTGAGCGCCCTTTCTTCTTGCCAGACGGTCCTTTATTGCTCGTGTTCACCAGCGTCGTTACCTTTGGGCAGGAAAAACAAGCTTTTGTCAGTTTGAACAATTCTCTATTTATAGGAACAGCTAATTCAATCCTCACACTATTTTCTGTGCCCTGGCAGGGATGTAGTGGGCACATGTTTTGAATAGATTAAATTGGAAGTATAAAATCCAGCGGCACGTCCCCCAAAAGAGGGATTTCCTTTTAACCTCTCCTCAGTCTGGGCTAAGCCAATCAAAGCCAAGCAGCAAAAAGATAAGAACCAGGCACGGCAGGGCTGTGATGCCAAAGCATCGTTTTTGTTACTTGTTTTCATTTTTAAAAAATGAAGACACTGATGAAGTGGAATCTGAACACACAAGGGTCAGAAACCACTCAAAAAGCAATTGTCCCTTGAGATAATGTACTGGCAGTGACATGCAAGTGGTGACAAAAACATTGTGGCCCTTTTCCAGACATGAAAGGTACAAAGAGCTCCCCCTGCAAAGATTATACAGGTTAAAACTCTTTGCCTTAGTGCTGCTTCACTATATTCCTAATATTTTGTTATAAAACCACAGCAGGCAGCGAAATGATCCTACCAGTATTTAAACAGAGGGAAACTGCTTCCATGTTTGCAGAATCTCCTGAAGGAATTCTTTATTGAGCTGTCAATAAACTGATTAAAAAGCTTAAAATCACAGCCCAGTGTGTACATCCCACAGCTGAGTACTGGGCAAAGAGGGAATCCTGCATCACCCCAGCAGTACCAGGCTGCTGCAACGTAAAACTGGAATATTGAATTGGGTATCATCAGGTGTTAAATGCACCAAAAAATGAGCAGGGATGCAGTTCTCCCTAACCAGGATACAAACCTGGGCACCTGTAGTATTGTATCAGTGTTCTAAGCCACAAATTTGCTGTAAGAAAATAAATGCCTTTGTAATAAAGACATTTCACTAAAAACCAAAAGATTCTAAAACAAGTATGAAAATTCACTGTTGTCTCATCCCTGTTACCAGAAGAGTGACAAGCAAGTGACAAGCAGTTCTGACCAAAAAGCTTTTTACCATGCTTTTTGTGTACTTTTTTTTTTTTTCAGCCAATATTTTTTTCTAAATCACATCTTAAAAGTACAGACTGTGGAAGAACAAATATATGTACCTGTATCTATATATACAATCAGGGCTTGAAAATACCATATACATGGATATATTGGGAGAAAAAAAAAAAGTGATCCAAGGCCTCCTTTCAGGAAGGAGTCTGCTTGGCGACTGGAATGTAATATTCATCCATCATATGGTTTGAGGTTTTTTCCTACTGTTTATATCTACAAATAATATTTTCTTTATTAGCTTTTCCTTGCAAATATTCCTCATGAAATTTCCTGAAGATCCTTTCATAGTTGATCATTGTCACTGGCATCTAGCTATGGACACCTACAGAAATGCAAACAATTCTAACCCACCACCAAACCATAAGAAAAGTTTATCAGAACTTCCCAATGTGGAAATAATTATAAATTGAGACAAAATATTTAGTAATATTTTCCTTAGGGCCTTTTTGAAATAAAAGAACTGCTTTTTGTTATGCTGCTTAATATGCAGAAATAGATAAAAATCACTTAAATTGTCTGCAAGTGCTCAAAATCTTCTCAGTTAAGAACATCTGGGTAGAGCAGATGAACATGTGCAGGTGCTAGGGATGAAGAGGATCCAGCACTGGAACTTTTGCTAATGCTCTCAGCTGCTGAGTCCACAACTCACACAGTCCATAGGAATACCCAAATTACCACAGAAGATGGAGATTTCTTCTACCACTTCTCATAACCCACATGTACAATACAGCATTCCCAAAGTCAATCCTCTTTGTCAAAAAGAAATACTGGTGTGTTCTGTTTGAGCCCACTTCATAAATGTTTTGTTGCCCTTTTTTTTTTCTTATTTATTTTGTTTCTACCATTAAAAAATAAGTTTCCATCATGTCAAAAGGTGGGACTCAAATATAATCATGGAAGAGTGCCAGCAAGAGAGCTCAAGATCACAAATGGTGCTAGAGACTTTGTTTGGCTCTGTGATTTGTAAACTTGAAGCAAAGGCTTTAAAATTTTAAACAAAATCTACTGTCATGAAATATTAAAAAAAAAAAGAAGCAACATCTCACTACCCTCTGATCAACAGCATCCAGATGAAACAAGGAGAGAAATCTCCATGTGGGGCTAGGATGTTCCCCTGGAAAATTAATTTCTGGATTCCAGTCCCTGCACCAACAGGTTGGGTTCAGGGTAATACAGAGATCTCATAGGAAGAAAGCAACTCATAAAAACTGGAATATTGCCATTTTACCCACCTTGTGTCAGCTTCTTTAAATTACATTAAATTACAAGTTAGGAGGCTAAAAAAGCAATCTCTTCCAAAATTAGAATTCCTGTTTCACAAAGTCAGCTGTACTGGGACAGGGCAAAGGGGAAGAAGACTTCTGATATCAGTGACAGAAAAATCCATGGCATCCAAGCTTCCTTCCTATTTTTAAAAATCCAATAACCTATGAATTTATATAAATTGCATGAAAAAAAATGAAGCAAAAATAATAATAACCTTTTATCTTATTAAAATAGCTTGGTTTTTCAGCAGGGCTTTCAAGCTAAGTGGTTTATTTTAAATATCTTGCCCCACCTAAAGTGGCACAAAGGAAGGAATGTCTCTATCAGCTTCTGTTACTAATTAATGCAGAAGTCACCCAAAATTCTGTACAATTATCAAATATATCACTTGATAATTACCATAAGCTCATTCGGCAGCCTTGTAATGATCCTGGCTTTGTGATCACACTAGGGAACCTTGCTCTCTTATTTTATTAAAGAAGCTTCACACAGTCCTAGCACAGATCTCTGCTGGAATTAACAGAACTTCACTAATTAATAGTTCAGCCCCATCCTGAATTAAGGCCTCCTTACCCAGCCCCAGCAGCACAAAAGGAAGGTGAGGATGTCTTTACTAAAAGCAGGAAATTCTATTAGCATGGATTTCCCCATGGCAGAGGTCAGGTGTGGGCAGGGAATGGCAGAAGTGAAAGGGGACAGAGCTGATCACACACTCAATCCATCAATCCCCTGACAGCAGCTCCAGCCCACACAAGGACATTCCTGGCTCTCTGAATTCAACTGTCTTCCCTACAGATTTCTGAAAGGGGCGGGCCACGAGTTTCAGAGTTGTAATTCTGCCCCTTTGCCTTCTCTTTGCTCAGTATCTGCTCGAATTTCTTTAGCTACCCAAGACTTTCCATAACCACGTTAAAGACAAGCACGTATTGACAACTCTTGAGGCAAATATTATAGACCTTTTTTTTCCCTTTTTTTATTTTTTAATTATCTTGCTAATCCTGATGGCTTCTCTCTGGTCCCATCCCACAGGACAGATGCCTTGGTGTTGTGTTTTCAGCACAGATTGGGTGATGAAAAGATTGAGAGCAGCCCTTTGGAGAAAGGCTCGAGGACACTGGTGGCATATGGCACAGGGATTGGACCAGGTGATCTTTAAAGGTCTTTTCCAGCACAAATAATTTGATGATTCTCTGATTCTACACATTTAAATATCAATGACAGAGGTTGTTGGGAGTTTTTTTTCTGAGAGTGGACAGCATTTATAAATTTCCTTGTTTTTAATAAAGCAAAGCAGGCAAATCAAATACAGCTCTGCAAGCATGAAAACAATTCAGACAAATACTTGGCTCTGGTTGTGACAGTTGCAGTCAATGTAAAAGAGTTTCTCTGAAGGATGACTAATTATTTACAAAAAAAAAAATTTAAATTCACTATTTCCCCCTATGCCCCTTTTTTCAAGTAAGTATTATTTGGTCTTCCTAGTGGCATTTTTTGGATGTGAACAGCTACAAGTTACTCCTCTCTTCTCATGTGCTCATAGGTCACCAAGGTGCTGGAAACACTCAATGACCTGAGCAAAGACAGCCCTGACATTTCAGTGGAAAGGCCTTTTTTTCTTTTCTGGGTATCAGCTGCCCTTCCACTCCACTGCACCCTCTCGCTGCCTCACTGGCTGTACAACAGTCACCCCCTGAGCACTCAAAATCCCGCTGCTTCCAAAAGAAGTATGTTGCATCAAAGGGAAAAAAAAAAAAAATCATTACAACTGTCTGAAAACACAAAACCTCTTTTTCCAAACTGTCTCATGGTTGTATTTGCTTTTTTTGTTTGTTTGTTTCTTTGTTTTCTTTGGCAGAAAAGACCTTTCAAAACACCTGGAGAGAGAAGCAGATTGTGTCGGGGGTTACATGGGAAGGTCTAATTTGATTCCCTGCTCCAAACAAGGTGGAGAACAGACCTGGGCACTGTGTTTGTGACCTTCCCTTGGACCACCCAGCAGCACAGCAAACAGGGATGGGGTTTTGCCACACAAATTCCTGGCTCTGCACACCAAAGACTTAAGTTATGGTGTGGCTCTCAGCAGCAGCTCATTAGCTGATCCCACTCCAACTGCAAGGTGTTACTGAGCAAAGTACAGGAGAAAATGCTTTCAACAACTACTTTTCATTCACATACAAAACAGAAAACAGCTAAATTGGATTTTTTCCATATTTCTGCAGAAGAGAAGATAACTTGCTGGGGTTTTTCCCATATTTGTGCTTATTTTCTAGTGCCACACAAAAAGAAGGGTATTTTTTTCCCTATTACACCAATATGTGTGAACACAGATGTTCTGCTGAGCACGATTCAGTCTGAAACATAACTCCATTTTTTGATAATAACTGTTCTTCAATTTTCCCTATCAACTTGAGTAATTTGCCACTGTCCTTACCCCATAAATCATAACAGCTTACATAATTAACTCTTGTAATTATCTCCGCACGATTAGCACCAGCTGTCTACCTAATTCATAGAACTCAAATTCTCTTTCTATTCTATGTGGATATTTGGATTCTCATTGATGAGCAGAACTTTGCCCATCCACGCTGAATTCCAGGGGTTTAACGCAGCTTTCTGCACTCCTTCCAGCTCCCCTCAGTGTTTGCAAACACCTGGGGGTGAG